TAGGGTATCATTTTATTTTTTCAACGATTCCTTTTTCTTCTTCTTTTTTTTTCTTTCTTTTCTGGTTTTTTTTTTTTATAGCTCTCTTTTTTCTTATTCGGGTATCCATGAGATCCGAAGTATGCACGGGTTTACGCGACATCCCTCATATCACTTCTACCTATAGCCTTTTCCACAGTTTCTTTTAAAGGCTGAAGGGAAGAGAGAAGGAAGGAATCATACTTTGAAGAAGTGCAGTGTCTTGTGCGGCTCGAAGAAGAAGTCTAGTCCAATGTATTCCAACTCCCAAGGTAAGAGACTAAGTCCAATTAAGTCCTGATAAAAGTAGAGACAACGTTAGATCAACTGGATATGCAATGAATAAGGGCTTTCAGGCTTGTTGATACAGCTCATAGTCATTCCAAACTTCGGTTCTGAGATCAAGCATAATCAAGAGTCATAAGAGTGTTAATCCAAATCAGAGAAACCGTTAGACTGAGTTCATAGTTCCCAACAAAAATTTTGACTCAATAAAACAAAAACTTTTTGGACTGACTCGATAAAACTCCAAAAGAATAAACAATGTGAGTAACTACCTCCCCCAGACTTAAACAACACTGTCCCCAGTGTTACCAAGTCTAAGATTGGCGAACAAAAGAAAATAAAATTAAAATAAATGCAAAAGAAATAGAAAAGAAAAACTCACAAGTGGGTTGCCTCCCACTTAGCGCTTGTTTTCAGTCATTAGCTTGACTTTGTCGGGGTTCATGCATCCGGTGGGTCGGGAAGCGGCAGTAAATGCCTCCGAGAATAGTGCCTCATCATCCAAGGTGGTTTATAAGCATTAGGTGTAGGAGATCGACCAAGTACACGAGGAACAGCAGCAGGGCATAGTCTAGGTATGGGTGGGACACTTCTTCTACCTGCAACATCATCAAAAGAACCAACAAGCGCTCTACGATAATCTCGTGGCTTGGTTAACTGCAAAACAGTCTTTGTACCTTTGGAGTTCTTATTGATGATATGAGAAGGTTTGGGTAAAGAAGTTGCGTACCTTTGCTTTTCTCGAGGTCTCTGGAGTATGGGTGGTGAAGCTTTCTGATTCAGAACAGGGCTCAAGCTTGCAGTAGTAAGATCAACCCGAAAACCATCCATTTTTGGCAAGTTCGGACTGTCGTGGCGAGGGGTGTCGATCGACACCATGGTGGTGTCGCTCGACACTGAGCCTGATGCTTGTGTTTCAGCATTTTTTCTGCAATTTGTCTCAGCGATCCTCATCTCTAGCACAAAAACATCATCTTCCAATAACTTAGCAGTAACTAGACCCTCGCTCTGGTCCCTAGCAGTAATATCTTCTGAATACTTTATGACTGCCACGTCATCCATAGCTTCTTCTAGAGAAAATGTCTGGCCATCAATAGTAGGTGCTCTCCTTAACTTGTCCATTTCAAAGTTCATAACCAAATCACCCACATGCAGTCCAATCGTTCCTTTCTGAACATCTATAAGAGCACCAGCGGTAGCCAAGAAAGATCTCCCAAGGATAAGAGGATCCTGAGGTTCTTCGCTATAATTCAAAACCACAAAGTCTGTAGGAAGTATGCATTCACCAATCCTTATTAGAACATCCTCTAAAAGACCTTCGGGAATTCTTTTAGACCTATCCGCTAGGATAAGAGAGATCCTAGTAGGCTTGAAATCTCTCAACCCAAGTCTCACAGCAACAGAGTATGGTATCAAGTTGATACCTGAGCCAAGATCACAAAGAGAGTGAGGAAATCTCTCTGTAAAGATAGAGCAGTCTAGCACGAAACTTCCTGGATCAGGTAACTTCTCTGGAATCTTGCTCTGAATCATGGCACTAACTTTTTCAGAAACAAACACTTTCTTCTTCTTCTTCTTCTTCTCTTTCTTACTCTGCAGGGTCTGTTTCAAGAAGATAGCACCCATGTCTCTAGCCAGCAAAGCTCCTTCCTCAGGGCTCACATCATTTAGGACCATCCTCTTAACACACCGCTTAAGCATAGGTGAATCACGATCTGCATGATCTAAATGAATCTCATTGATCACCTTTTCCATCATTGCCTTGCATCGAGATTCCTCTATCTCCTGTT